ACAATATGCAAACCTAGCCCCGATGCGAGCCCCAAAACTTCGGCGCGCCGAAACGAGTGTGACATGACGACCACCAACGTTGCCGACGAGCGTTGAATAAGAGAATCCTGCGCTCTGAGATTAAGTACCTCACGGCGTACCGAGGTAGCAAATGGAAGTACAAGTTGGATATGAAGGATAGAACACCACGCGCGTTTCGATCAGCCTCGGGAAAAGCGTTGTTAAAGCCAGCGTTCCACCTGAAACAAAACAGCGAAAACGCGATCGCGGGAGTGTGGGCGGGTGTAGGTGGGAGGCCTTACGAAAGTTCACCTGCTTCTATACTCGCTCGAACGGGTAAGTTGAACGAGACAGCGGCAGTATGTACAAGCAGGAGCTCTGAGAGTAAACGACGCGAGGAGGGGTTAAAAGGGGGGGGGGGGGGCAATAGAGACGTAAATCTTCGCCTTCTGTAAACTCGGATGCGACGCACGCGCCTCCTGGCAGCAGCGACGCAAGCACGACGGTTCAGTTCGTCCAAAGAGAAAACACCGACGTGTGTATAGAAGGCAGGGACTGCGGCGGCGCGCAACAAAGGAAAGCTTGTTAGCAGCGGCTTCTCAGAGGAAAAGAACAAAACAAGAACGCAGAGAGAGAGAGAAGACACAGCAGTGTTGCGGGAGAAAAGGCGCAGGGGGAAGGGCGTGCGTGTGTGCGTGCTCGGCCGTTAATGGAAGGCGGACGCCGGGGCCTCGGAGAAAAACCCGTAACCGAGGATTAACGCCGGAGTCGGTCGCCTCCCGTAATCCCTCCCGCGCCGCTACTGCGCCTACTACAAGAGTGAGCCAGCGCTGTTATTGCCTCACTCTTTGCCCCCCCTTGTTGTCTCTACTCTCGAAAACAAGAAGTAAAGCGAGAAAAAAGTAAGCGGACGGAGGAGAGCTCTTGTTTTGCGCGGCAGGCAACAATAAAGAGCAGAAGATGTCGCGGCCGAGCGAGGAGGAGCGGCGGCACATGCGGCTAATCCGCTTTCGGGACGCTGCTGGCCGGCTTTTGCGGAGTTGCGGCGGCGTTGCAGAGGAGAGCGCCGCTAAGCCGAGAGAGCTTTGCCGCAACAGGGCGCCCCTGATCGTCCCTACCACTCTCTGAAGAGAGAGACCGCCGCCCTCGGCAGAACGAAAGAAAACAGAAGCTGAACAAGAGGACCGAGGAATAAAAAAAAAATGTTACAGAATAAAAACAAAGAATCGCAGGAGCGAGGTAGACGTGTATGCGGTTTTCCATCGTGGTTAGAGAGACAAGGGGCATCCTCCGCCACTAACAAACCGGGCCGCTTTCTTTGCCGCTCCCGAAACGAACATATAAAAAAAGGCGAAGTTGAACAGGTGCGCCGCAATGCACAGTTCCAGTGCGCCACTTTTTCCTCTCCCGAGAAAGTCACGGCGGACACGCGTCCATCACGCGCGAACAAACGTGCCGCGACTATTTTACGGCGCTCCCTTCGTGCTCCCAGACAAACTGCGCCAAAACACTAGGCTGTAAGGTGCATTCGTAACGTTGCAGGCTATGCACACGTGGCGACGTCTGCGCGCATCGCAAACAACCTTCCTGCAGTGCCGAACGCCGACGATGTTCACATCAGCGTCGCCTCTCTTCACACGGTTTACTTCGCAGCACGTGCACTCACAACAAGGTCTTGTGTCACACCTGCTTGGAAACAATGAAGAGCTCCCGACTGTTTCCACATTTCGCCTTTCCATCACTGCGGGATTGTAGCGCAAGTGGGCCTTTAGGTAAGTGTTGGTCGTAAAGGTGTTTTAAGCGCCGTCGCTCAGCTCACATCGCATACTGTGGCACCGTTTAAATCGCAGCGACGGGAGGAAAACGGCGGGCGCCGACGAGAGCATTGACAGCGTTGGCGCAAGCAGAGCGCCCGCAAAAAAATCACGTCGGTTCACCACACAACGTTCATCCCATCAGCCCCACTTTCTCATCTCCATAGAATACACTTTGTGACAGTTCAAATAGTACACCGGCCACAGCTTATCATCTCTGTGAGACTACTTATCAGAGAAACCACCAGCCATTCCTGGGCGCACGTGTCCGCCGAGAAACGAACACGCACATTCCAAAGACTCGCGCACAGACAACTATGAAGAGCCTCATACAGCGGTAGTTTTGCTTTTAGAAATCCTCACGGCCGCTTATAGACTACACGAAACTTCGGCCACCTTCGAAAGCATTCTATGTGCTCGTCCGCCTTTTGTTCAACGATGAAAAACACAAGACCCGCGGATGATGGGAGGCCGACAGCGCCGCCAGATTTTTATTACTTTTACTCGTTCACTTGGAACGCCTCAGGCGCTGAAGCTATAGAGTCGAACATAAGATACATCCTTCTAACTACAACCCACCAAAGTGCACCACTGGCGTTGATCAGGAAAAGCAAGCGTGGTAACGCACTTCTGATAGCTCGGTGCTGGAACGCCACGGCGAGCGGCACCGAGTCCGCCGCTCATTGGCTCACAGTGACAGAAAACGTCGGCCATTTCCCATTTTCCAGTGCTGCCCTCTGCTGCTTCCGTAGGAGCGGGGAAACCCGGTATCGCCAAAGCGAAAGGCTTCGAGAGGTGCTTCTCGATTTTTCCCGCTAGGGGCATGGGCGCATGAGCCGTGGCATCGTGAAAACAAAACAAACAAAAAAAAAGGCCGATGGAACCGACCGCGGGTCGTATTCTGAGACGGTAAGTTTCGGCAACAGCATCGCTAAGCGGGGCGGAAAATCTCGAGTGTCGAACGATTGAAGCGACTACATGACCACCATTGCTCAACCAGCCAATCAGCGGCGGTACCTCCAACTCAGAATACGGCTCCGGTCTCAGTGAATGGTCGGCCACGATAGTACATTGGAAAAGAAACCTCATTTACTTCAACCTTGCTCGAGGCCGCATTCGAGATAGAAAAATGCCGCGCAGCGCATTTGAAGAAAAAAGAAAAGACAGCACAAAATAAGCAGAGCGAATGCTTACACTGCCCAACTCGCGAAGCTGTTCGTCAAGACAATAAAACTAGACTGAAAGGGCAAATATGTTTACGGTGATCACCGAGTGCGGCCTTCACAACCAGTCCGCAGAGACTGGCGTAGCTGAGGTGAACCTCTATCAGCGTGAACGAAAAATCGCTGCACCGCACATCTCAAGGCGGCACAGCGTAAGAACCAAGCGTTGCAAGATGTTTATACACTGCGGTCTGCAGCCTTCAGCCAAGGCGGCCAAACATTACGAGTGCCACTTTTGATTCCAGGAAGGCAAAAAAAAAAAAAATTACGCGGAACAATTTATAGGTTGTCCTTGCTGGTTTGGGAGGCCTAAATCGAACTGTGCGAGCTCTATCTACTAACGCTCGTTAAATCGTGCTCACTCCATACATTCCCAGGACAACCCGATGTGTCGGTCAGAGTGAACTAACTTATGTGCTGCGTCCTGCAGTACACAACGAACGCGTCAAACGATCAATAAGCCACGTTACAGCGCCGCGGTCAACTTGAAAGGGAGGAGCTTCGCCTAGGGAATCTCTTGTCTAAAAAAAAAAAAAAAAAAAAGGAAATCTGGCACGAGTCTCTGCGTACTTTAAAAGAAATAGTACGGCTTTGTAATCAAGGATGGTACTTGGATTTAAGTGAACTTCGGCCCTTTTGCATTCAATAAATACCTGTTTACTTTAAATGAATTTCTCACGGAAAGCTCTTTTCTTGACAGGAATAAACAAGGAGGTTTTCAAAAAGAAAAGTGCTGGATTGGAACCTCATACAACGCCTTATTGCTGATAGTAAAGCCAGCACTTGTCCATCATTTATCACTAACACATGTCATCTCAAGGTGGTACCCGCCAAGAGGTTCAAGTGGTTTTGCTTTGATAATGCAAAAGCTATGTTAACTGTATAATAAGAGATAATATTTGTCGACGAAAGTAACATACCGAGATGAGTATTGATGACTTGATCTTCGATGAAGTTTTCAAATACTGAATTTAAGGAAACGAGAACGAAAACACACGTTGAACAGTGTCTGCTCACAAAAAAAAAAAAAATGCCGTATTAAACTTGTTGGACGTCGGAAGACAACGATTCCTTATCTTCACCGAATGCTAACTTTTCGTTTTACCCTTCCCAAAATGGCGGCCGCAGCCGCCATCTTGAAGCGGGTACGGCTCCACTGTCGAGGCATAATTTCCAATCCAGCAATTCTTTTTAAACCTGTTGGAGAAAACGCCATGTTCAGCGTCTGATTTTTGTTTTTTTAACTGTGATACATGTTTCTCTCTTTATCGCTGACCTGTCGCTAAAGTCACCTTGGGGTGCGGGTGGTTCGAAGAAGAAGAAAAAACAAAAGTTCTACGTTCTTGATTTTCCGTTCCTCATCTTAGAATAAGCTTTTCTCCTCAACTACACCCTGCCGCCCCAATTATTTGTCCAATTTTACTGGTAGGCACGTTCCAGAAAGTGTATCCACGGTTGTTGGTCCTCGACTGCGCGTCTAATGGCCCCTTCTACAGGGCCGCGCATTTTATCGCTGTAGCTAGACGTCCAGAATTTCTATGGACCACGCAAGAATATTTACCAGATAAACGGTCTCAATCTAGCATTGTTTCTCAAGGTGAATGACATGTGCGTAAGATCCAACGACACGAGTAATTCGAAGTGAAGAAACTTCTTTACGTACAGCAAAAAGCTCTTCGCGCACAGCATGTGCTTGGTCTCAATAAGACAACGAAAAGGCCGCATATAGCCGAAAAAACGATGAATATGGTGGGGAGTAAAGATAGAAACGAAAATCACGCATACCATCCACCCCTCGCGGCGTACTTTAACTATTCCAGTGCCAGATTTCCCTTTCACAATCTAGCGACAAAATAAAAACCACCACGACGAGGCTCCACGAGGACAGGTAGCGCAAGCGAAGACGCCCAGCTCGTAAGACACACGCTAGAATAAAAGACAGAAGCCAGGTGGGCCGACTTACCTGCGATTGCACGTTGGCGCCCACGGCGTTCTGGTAGGAGTCTCCGCCGTTCATACTCATGTTGTACATGGAGTCTTGCGGGACGCCCGGCGGTGGTGGGCTTATCATAGGACCCTGCTGACCCTGCGTCGTCGGCACCATGCTGTAGGCTGAAGCGCCGGCCGCTGCGGAACAAAAGGGCAGAGGAGGAAGAAGAACAAAAACACACAGTTGATGAAACTCCCAAGACTCCGCCATTGACGCCACCGCGGTGCATGGTCCAGCAACAAAACACACACGCACGCGTAGAGAAGCTGTGGTAATGAGCAGTACCAAGGTCATGGCACTTTACACACCTGGCAGTGAGCATGCATGTGCGGTTCTCGTGCTACGATAGTCAAACGATGATTACGTTGATACGCGAAAGGCTGTTTACCGCGTCATTCAGGGAATGCCCGTCTTACAGATAAAAAGCTGTCTCTGGTCTTGACCTTTTTCACTACAATGTATTAGCAGCACTGCAGGAAAGTTGATCGCACACCATTAAAAGAAACACAGTCGCCCTGCTCACCCAGCGAACTGCATACTCGCAGTTTACTTTAATGCTGCCCTCTAAGACAACAGCTAGGCTTACTGCTTGTTGGCGCAAGCGTGCCAGTGGCTTAATGGCTGTTTAAGTTCGACCGTTCGCATAATGACAAATCAAACGAGAAGTTTTCAGCGGGCAAACCGAGAGCCCGCACCAAAACGTTCAGTTACGCTGTCCTTTCAATATTTACGTTCCCTCTGGCATAAATAAGAAAGGTGAAAGAGTGTGAGCGCTACGCCGAAATTGTAGCACAACCTAGATTTGCAGAAACGTTCCTGGAAAGAGTAACACTGCACCGAGAAAACAAACAACGCCAGGAGAGTGACGTAATGACATTCCCCTGTCGAGGCGAAGTAACTAACTTCCGTGCAACGTGCGGTACCACAGCAAATGACAAAAATAAGAAATATAAGCAGACGAGAAGTGGGAGAAGGAGGGGGTGGTGGAAGGCTATGGCAAGTAAAGCGCACGATGGGCCACAGTAGTCGTAAGCTAGGATCGCCAAGAGAGGCAGGCCGCACAAAAGGCACCCCGAACGGATCACCAAGGAAAACCTCAGCGAGATCGGAATAAGGCAGGCCACGGGGACGGCCAAATAAAGGAGGACAAGGGTAGGAAAAACGAACAAGAAACGCGCTGAGGCGAGAAAGAAAGTGAGCGCAACTGGCAGAAGCCGAAAACAGAGGACAGACCGCGTAAGAAGAAAAACAGAGCTGCCTATTGCGATGCCTCCCGTCCTGTGTGGCAATATAAGCAAGGGTACTTTCCCTATCCGGCCGGGGGGAGCCCGGCTCACTTTGAATGAGAAAGGCGCTAGAGAAAGCACTCGCTGGTCGCCAAGGAGGAAGCCCAACGAAAGAAGAAGCGAGGGTGCCTTCAGCCGGCATTGATTTGGCGACCGGAGGAGGCGAAAAGGCGCCGGAAGGGCTAATGGAGCAGCCGTCGCGTCGCCCTCCTGCGTCCCCCGCGTGACGACCCCCCTTTTCCCTCGGCTGCTCCCCAGAGTTTGTACATACACACCAAATCTCCCAGAAGGCCCGTTTTCCTCAAGCTGCCTACACCCCCCCCCCTCCTTTCTCCCTTTTCACCATACTCACACACAAAAAACAGCTACATAGGTTATGAGAATGCGATAGACAGCCAGGGCCAAAACAGAAATTAGTGGCCTATGGAATAAATGATCGAAACGGGAGACGCATCCTTTTTTTTTTTTCAATTCCATCAGCTTACCTTCAAGCCATGCAGGACACCTGCTGCTACACTGCGTCCAATATCGCTTCCTTAGTTTGATTAGGAAGTCCCTATACATAGTCCCTAGCGTCCAGCTCGAAACACGCAATGCCACAACGAAATGATTTTACTATTACGAAAATTCGTTCACGAAATTGCAGATCGAGCGGACGACGCCATCGACGAAAGGACGACGCAATTTGCAGTCTTTGAGGCCTGAACTCAAATACACAAGAGTGTATAATCTACAAAATGCAAGCATAGATCGTTACACGATACGGGCGTGCAACGAAAGAGTGGTTTCCACATCAAGAGCGGCGAAACTAACGGCAGCATAATGTTTGCGAAGGCGAACGTCCCCCCACTCGAATAAATAGCGTCGAGGGACCAGTAGGAGCGTTTTGTCGGGCACGATATCCAATGGGAGCAGTGTTGTGAAAGCGTTTTTCATTCCACTTCCCTGTCTACGCCAGCAATGTGCGGATGTACCCAAAATGATAAGTACAGTATAAAATTATTAACATTAATGCAAGTTGGTTATTACACTGAAACTGCAGTAACAGGCCCTATACAATAATTTTAGCTTTCGACCAGGTTATTCAACCAAGTCTAAAAGATTACGACAACTGCGCTTCGCACAGCCCGCAAGCAGAAGACGAAGTTATAACTAAACGCGGCTCGGTCAAACTCACACGGCAAAGCCCGTTGCCCGTGCGCCTACGTAGGTGCTCAGAGGAGTAGTGCGACTCACAGGGAAGGTTGGTAGGTGTACGTAGACACAACAACGGATTGCTCCAGAACTCGTCAGCATGGGCAGTGTGAAAACGCACACGTAGAGCAACAGCGCAGGTGCACATTAAGTAAGAAAATTTTATAGGATGAAATGTGTTTCGCAGCTGCTGGCTCATACGTGCTGCTACGGAATCCCTGATGGTGGCTATAAGCTACGCGTAAAAAAACTTGGCCACAGGTGGGAAAATATGCTCGCCTACTCGAGGTGTAAACACCCACGTTAGATAAAAAGTGAGGGCTACCTTACGCTTCGACGCAGCATTTGATTGCACTGCATCGATTTAGTTTGGCACGATGCTTTGTGAAGTGTCTGTTTCCTACCTAAAGCCCGGCCATTATAAGCGATACACAAATTTGAAGAGAACCGAGCACATGGAGATGTTTCAATGCGGGATCACCAGAAGAGATGCCGGATGAGGGACATCACGGGAATCGGCCACGCTCGGGGAAGACGCGCAAATAAGCGGACGCCAGCCAGACGTCGGCGGAAGCCGATTCGACACGATATCAGGGGAAGAGCGCCAGAAGGACGGTTCAATTTGTCAACAGCGCGCGACGCGTTGCCCCTGTCAGTGGCGAAAATAAATTCGCAGTATTGTTTTTCTCCCCACCTCCCTCCTGCTCCTTTCAGTTTTCATTAGTAAAAAAAAAAGGTGACATCTCGGAGCCAAGCTAACTCATACACCGGCGGACGAAATAGATACAGCACCAGCCACTTGAAGGCTCCGCCGGATTGCACTTTTCATTCTAGCCGCTACTGAAAAACAGCATTTCGTCAACACAACGCCGCTGTTGTTACGTGGACCATCGCTCGCGCATTTATTTTTCCACTTGTAAATTTCTTTTTCTCCCCATCCTCACGAACTTGGGAAAGCAATGCCGAGGCAGCCCGAACTCAGGCGCGCACTCGGCGTGTGGAAAGGCGGAGACATTGAAAAGCTTTCGGCGAAATTGGACGGCTCGTCTTGAAAATAGGGGGTAGAGTGGGGGACAAGGGGTAGCGGGCCAAAGGGACCGAGAAGGAAACACAAGCATGGCAACCTTGAGACGGGCTAGCGTCACCGCCTAGCCATTCTCCTTTCCTCCTCGTTCTGACACCGTGGCGTGAACACACAAAAGAGAAAAGAGAGAGAAAGAGAGGGGGAGCGGTCGCCGCCGCACGTCGGGTCGCAAGGCGCCCGAAAAAAATTTATACGGGACATCAATCGCGATCAAGCCTAGCCGCGCCTCACACGTGTATACGCACGTTTGCCGCCGCGGTGGCAGAGGACTTGCAGGTCTTGATAGTGTGCGACCCTCATCGCCTCGCCTACTTATCACACTTTTTTTGCAGAACTGAGAAAGAGGCCCTCAAAATGAAAGAAAATAAAATAAAGAAATAAAAGTGTGTGGGGGGGGGGGGGGGGGGGCTATGGATGACGGGACATCGCAAAAAGAACAGAAAGCCACGGCCAGCTTGTTTAGCCTAAGAGGCAGCACTTTGAAAAAACACTGTCAAAATAGAAGAGTGAGAGGGACGAGCACACTTCGAAGCAGTCGTCTTCGGCCTGGACGAAGCTGTCGGAGAAGAAAAAAACACTGAACGCGAATGAAGCACACAGGCAATGGGCCACGCTATTGCGTAATGGACAGCAGGCATCTTGAAGAAAACCGAGCTTCGGAAAGTCGGGGAACAGAACACGTTGATGAAATAAATGGACAGTGCGGGGATAACATTTCGCAAAAAAAAAAAAGAAAACGATTCCCAGCATTCCTCAGATGAAGCCGTTCGAGGAGGGAAGAGGAGCTTACACGGTGTGTGGTAAGCAGGCAAACACTCCGAAGCAAATTTCATCTTGATGCGGAAGTCGGCGGGACGGGAATTCGAATCCCCCTCCAGAAAAAAAAAAAAAAAAAAAACCGACGGATGCGACCCCCGTGGAGCCCGATGTTGAGAAAGGGCGAGCTTCAAAGACAGCCCACGTCTGCGGACAGCCGAGCCCAGGGTAAACATGAAGGATGACACTAACGGCAGTCAAATGATCGCCCACTACTGGTGAGAGTGGAAAGCTTACGAACCGACAGCGTTTAGATACGACAGAGAGAGACCACTTACGTGCTAAAGTCTTTAACCACGCAACGGAGTAAACTTGGCCCGACATCGACCGACCAGCGCACGACGAACGCAAACGAACATCTTTTAATTAGCCCTCGATATATTGCAAATGCGAAACTATGCCAATAATACTGCAATATCGAAAGTTTGGAAATTTCGATTACATTGCTTTCTTGATCTAGCTATACTAAATCTTATCTGCCTGCCCACTATAACGTTCGTGAACGGGCACTTTTGGGTGTCGACTCACGTATTCGTACACACTACGCACGCTCTCGATTTGTTTTCCCTGTGCATTACAGTTACTCGCAGTACAAGAAAAATAAACGCAGGCAAAGTTATAAAGCACAACAAAATGAAAGTCTCCGCCCGATATGACAGCCAATATTAACTAGAGTGAGACATCAAGTGCACACTGGTACAACCTACACTCAACTCACGAGACCGACGACGGCCGAACAAAGAAGGAAAAAACGAGT